CAATATTCTAATCGTCGACGAATAGTAGACTCATTAATATGTAAAATAGATTCCTGACAGAAAAACGGTCTAGCATGACGCCATGAACCAACTTTCTTAGCAGCTGACCTAGCAATGGATTCAATATCGTTTTTTGCACTTCATGTCATCGGAGAACATTAGCATGAGTAGATGCAGCGAGTCACACGTCTGGAGGTCAGCAGATGAGGATGACTGACGTTGCATTTAAATTTTTGAGGATTGCATGCAGCAAGAAAGGGAGAAATAAGAAGCGAATTCCGCAGACGAGAAGTGCGAGAAAAGAAACTATTAGAATAGAGTTGATGGCTGCATCTGGCTAGTTTAACAGTAAACTGGTAAGATCTAGCTGCCAACCTAGTAGAACGCTTAAATTCATGCAGTCGGTGCCCAAGAAGAGCTCATCAGAACAATTGCCATGAAAATATTTGTTAAAAAAAAAAAGACAGAATTCGAGATGGAGATCATGATCAATTGTATTACAGACTATCAACTGAATTTTGTCAAAAGTCCTGAGATATACAGCGGAAGCACCAGGCCAGATTTTTTTTTTTTTTTTAGGCAAATCACCCCAAGGAAGGCGGGAGAGGCAATATCACACAATGGGTTACAAAAAATAAGAGTAAGAGTAAAGAGGAGTGTTTGGGAAAAGGATAAAGAGAAGGACGGGGATCAAGGTCAAGGCATCAGAAGATGCCGATTGACATTACATTTGAATATTTGAAGATTATAGCTATCAGGGAAGCAAATAATAGGAAGGGAATTCCACTGACAGGAAGTGCGAGCTAAGAAGCTGTTCAAGCAGCTACATTTAGCCGTTTCGACAGTGAAAGTGTGGGACCATTCTAATAGCACGCTGAAATTCACGTTGTTTGGGAACTAGAGAAAGTAACTCATCAAAGCAGTTGCCATGAAAATACTTGTAGAAAAGACAGGGAAGCCACGGCACGTCTGTGGGATTGTAGACTAGATGCCAGATCAGGACCTATCACCTTGCATATTTGTCTCTGGATTTTGCCAAGGACCTCGAGACGTACAACGGAGACACCAGACCATAAATGACAGCAATGTTCAATTGGCAAGGACGAACGGTTGAATTGTAGATTTGAAGGCTGGACTCAAACGCGACACAGAGAACCAACTTTTCCTTGCGCTAGATGAAGCTATAGATTCAATGTAGTCAGGTCAGTGGACAGCGTGAGATGAAGCAGGCGCAGAGAGGCGCTTTCGTAGATTTGCCCATCAGCGATCCTGACGGGAGGCAGGGAAAGTTTTCTCTCTGGTTGGTAAATGAGAACATGGCTGCAATATTTATCGCAAGGACGAATGGTAGATTTATAAATGTTCAAGATGGATTCTGACTGAAGAACTGTTCAGCAAGAAACACAGTGAAGCAAATTTCCTTGCAGTAGATATAACAATTGATACAATGAAATCACTGAACATCATGTCATTGGAAAACGTGACCCCTCCCTGACAAAGGAGTAAAGTGTTGATCTCCTGGAGTTTAGCATCAGCCATTCTGATAACAGACAGAAAGGCTGTTATTTCTTGGGATGGGGCGAAATAATCATAGGGCATTTTAATCTTACTGAAATTTATAATGAAAATAAATCGAAATTATTTTACTATAGAAATACATTGCAAATAATTTTACTAGAGAATTGCACTGTAAATTATTTTACTATATAATTTACAATTAAAATTATAGGAATATATTCAAAATTATTTTAATATAGAAATGCATTACAAATTATCTTTCTATAGAATTATATATTATAAAATATTTTACTATAGAATTGCATCGAAAAATTATTTAACTAATACATACATTACAATTTATTTTATTATAGAAATACATTGCAAATTATTTTACTTTAAAAATGTTTTTGCAAATAATATTAAAAAGCCTACGAGTAATTTTCTTAAGGATTTCTTTGGGGTTTTTTTTTTGGTGGGGGAGTAGAAACACATCGTAAGATATTGCAAATTATTTTACTATAGTTTATATTGCATAATATTTTACGATAGAAATGCATTGCAAAATATTTTAATATAAAATCCTTTGAAAATTATATTCAAAAGTATAAACAATAATTATACACATATTTTCTCTTGAATCTGTCTTAAAATCGATGGGAATTATTTTTCTATGGGATTTTATTGCAAAATATTTTACTGTAGTTATGCATTGAAAATGATTTTATTATAGATGTGCTTTGCAAATATTATTATTAAATAGAATAAAATTGCAATTTCCTTAAAGAATTTATTTGCTTGCTTCGAGTCAGTCTATTTTAATCCCATTATATTCCTGTCTGACACCGACTTAAAAATGTCTGCTGTCACTCCGCTAATATTAGAGTAATTTAAATGAAATCCCATAGAAATGAAACATTGATTTCTTGGCTCTATCTGCGAATGGTTTTCAGTGAATGTTTTAATTTAAAAACATAAATATTTATACATCTATAAAATATACAATCGGCTTCATTGATTGCTACTTTGCCATTCCTGACATAGAAAACCTCAAAGTGGACGATAAAGAAAGGAAATATTGATGTTTACTAAGATTATCCAACTTCGAACTACCCTGTTGGTGGGACTAAGAATAGCCGGCCAAAGGTCAGTCTTTCCAGTCAAGTATAAATCGAACCTGTATCTATTAATTCACTGTGACATTTATTCTTTAAAACTTATATTCAACGTCAAAATGGAGTGCAAAGAGTATAATGAATCTATTGCTAGGTCAGCTGCTAAGAAATTTGATTCACTGTGTCATGTGATACAATTTCCCTCTCCAGAATCTATCTTACATATTTATAAATCTACCATTCGTTCATACTTAGAATATTTCTGCTACATATGTCCCTGCTAAAAATTTAGAGATTCTTGATAAAATCCAAAAAAGAATCAGAAATATTATTGTTCCTGACCTGATATCTCGGCTTCAGTCACTTTCCCATCACAATACAGTTGCTTCCCTGTGCCTTTTCTATAAATAATTTGATGGTAAATTTCTCAAAGACTGTAATAAATCTATTGATGGTCAGCTACTAACAAATGTGGTTCACCGTGTCGTGCGAGACAATTTTCCTCTCCAGAATCTATCTTACATATTTATAAATCTACCATTCGTTCATACTTAGAATATTGCTGCCACATATGCCCCTGCTATATATTTAGAGAGTTTTGATAAAATCTAATGAGTCTAACAACTACATTGAATCTATAGCTTCATCTACCGCAAGGAAAGTTGGTTCTCTGTGTCGCGCCAGAAGGTTTTTCTCGCCCGAGTCCATCCTTCATATCTACAAATCAACCATTTTTCTTTGCATGGAATATTGTGGCTATGTATGGCCCGGTGCTCGTGCTGTTCATTTCCGGGTCTACAGATTGATATGCAACGGGATTCGTCCTGATCTGGCATTGCGTCTTCAGTCACTCTCTCACAGACGTACTGTGGCTTCTCTTTGTCTTTTCTACAAGTATTTTCATGGCAACTGATTCGACCGGCTACTTTAACTGGTTTCTAAAACTATACGAATTTAAGCTAGGTTAGCTACTCAGTTCCACCCTTTCACTGTCAAAATGGCGAAATGTAGCCATCTCTTCTACTCTAACAGCTTCTTATCTCGCACCTCTCATCAGTGGAACTCTCTTCCCTTTACTTGCTTACCTGACAGCTATAATCTTCAAATATTAAAATGTAATTTCAATCGACATCTTCTTATGCCTTGACTTTGACCCCTCTCCTTCTCTTTATCATTTTTCCAAACACTCCTCTTTACTCTCACTCTCTGTAAACCCTTGTGTGATACTGCCCTCTCATCTTGCTTGGGGTGATTTACTTTTAAAAATCGCAATATTATTGTTCCTGACCTGATATCTCGGCTTCAGTCATTTTCCCATCACAATACAGTTGTTTCCCTGTGCCTTTTCTATAAATAATTTTATGGTAAATCTTTCAAAGACTGTAATGAATCCGTTGCTAGGCCAGCTGCTAAGAAAGTTGGTTGACTGTGTCGTGCGAGACACATTTTCTATCTAGAATCTATCTTACATATATGTTGGGCTTGGTAGTAAGCCAGTCTTGAATAAGGAAATCTATCAAACCAGCGAAGAGAAGTTGGTCAATGTCTGATGAGTTTCTTATAGGAGCCAACGGTAATCATGCAGCTAGAAGAAAAACTCGAATTTTTAAAAAAAAGCCTGCAAATGTGGTGCACAGTGCATCAGTACACGTGATATATTGGAGAGTTGTGTGCATTGCAAGAACACAGGCAATTGAGTATTTTAAACAATGCATTTGTGCAGACTGTTCATTAAAAAAAAACTTAAAATTTATTGAAAATTCATACCTCGTTTACAACGGGACAATTCATCTATACATCTATATCTATATATTTCGTTCTTAGTTGACATAAAGCGTAAAGAATGTAATGAATCCATTGCTAGGTCTGCTGCTAAGAAAGAAAGTTGGTTCACTGTGTCGCGCAAGACAATTTTTCTCTCCAGAATCTATTACATATTTATAAGTCTACCATTCACCCATACTTAGAATATTGCTAGCACATATGTCCCTGCTATATATTTAGAGATTCCTGATAAAATCCAAAGAAGAATCTGCAATATTATTGATCCTGACCTGATATCTCGGCTTCATTCACTTTCCCATCACAATACAGTTGCTTCCCTGTGCCTTTTCTATAAATAATTTTATGGTAATTGTTCCGATGAAATCTTCTCTATGCCGAAATCTAAATATTTGGAACGGAATTTTATTTTTTGGGAGGAGATAATATTTTTAGTGATACAAGTCTTACTAATTAACCTATAGCTGGGGGAGAAGTGGATTCATACCCATCTCTATTCTAGTTGCGCGTAAGTGAACATAATGAACTTAACTGGAATTGGAACTCGGCTCACCGATTAAAAATGTTGAGCCATTATCCATTACACTACCCGTACATGAAAAAAAGCTTGCAGCACCGGGTATTCCCAAGTGGTCACCCATCTAGGTACTGATCAGAATCGACGTTGCTTAATTTCGGTGATCGTACAGGAACCGTTGTTTCAGCGTGATGCGGCCGTTAACTGGGCTCCATGCATCCCCTGCAGTGACGGAGGAATTCCTAGCCTGAAGTGAACAGGCAAGGCACATGGTTCCCCCCGGCAGAAATAACGGTCACGTGCCCACGTCTAAGACAAGACTTCAAATTAGAAGAGATCGGCTGTGGTTTGATCTGGAAGGAGATGAGCGCCGCCAAATCGATTTGCCCAAGAAAAGCTACGCGTTAATGAACAAGCGTCGGCTTTCAACCCAATAATCTAGAACAGACTTGTCAGGCTCTTAACCGCGGAGCATGTGTACACCCCATAACTGGTCAAGTGACGTATGTTGATAAACTAGCCTAATTTCATAATGCGTTAATTTTAAATAAAAACACTTGATCTTATGTCGTCAAATATCCAATATATTTTCAGATGTGGGTCAAAATATTAGTGCTGACATTTTAAACAATATTTTTTTTCTATTTTAAAATGTTTATTTTATGTATTTGTTAGACGAATCCATACCTTTTTAAACACATCATACATACAATAAAAAGGATTAACACTTTCTTTATTTTCTGTAGATCAAGTTTATGTGGACTATGCTGGATCCAGCCTCTACAGGCCGGAATTGATCAATACCATTATGGCGGATTTATTATCAAACACGTACGCAAATCCACACAGCCAAAGCCCAAGTAGCACACTGACTTCGAATATGATAGAGCAAACACGACATCAGTAAGTGATTATCTTCCTTTTTTCTTACTACGGTAGAATCCCTAACAACCGGACTAAGAAACCCTTCCGTATATGAGAAGTTTTATTTCGATTAAAATAAAAGAACTCAAAATCATGTTTAGCATTTATTTTTAATGTTTTATAATAAACAAAATACGCTAATGGTGAGTAAAATATAATGGAATTGATTTTTAAAGAAAAAGAAATAAATTATATAATGTTAATGAAAATTAAATTAAGTATGTCACGTATGCAAAATAAATTTTTAATCGCTGTTGCATGATGATTCTTTCTCTTCTAATGTCATTCTCAACTTTTTCTACATTTCGTCTTGCTTTTGTTCTTGATTTTTTTTTTAAACGAAATACACTTTTTACCTCTGTGTGTGGTATTGCAATCGTCATAGCTGAATGCTGGCTTTCTTTCCATAAAACCGACAACATTTTCAATAACATTTTCAATTTCAGTACAGGTTTCATCACAATCATGTTTTTTATTTCCTTGTTCATTATCACAGTGTGAACGCTGGAGAATAGTTTCTTGGGAAGATTTTATATCATACAATATTGACTTTCCTATATTGAACTCGGACATTAGTTACAATGAACTTTCGCACTTACCGTCCTCTCAGAACATTTCCCATATATTTAAATTTCTGCACCTGATTGTCCCCGACCTGTAAATCGCATTTCAGGCTCAACTTTTTACTGACGAACATGCACTCTGTTTTATTTTTATGCTTAGTCCTTTCATCACGCTCTCCTTAGCTACATTCTCTAGGGGATTTTGTAATTTCTTTTCTGTGTCTGCTTAGATTAGAAAAAATATACTTACTATTTAAAATAGACTCCATCTGTTTACATCATTATTCCAAATTGTCACGCAATGTGTTAAATATGAGTCTTTGAAAATAGAAATTAATAATATTAAAGAACATTTTATGGAAGAAATTTCTCTTTTAATATAAAGAATTAAAACATATATCTATTGATATAAAATAATTTATTTTCATACTTTTAATCAGGATATATTTGCATTAAGGTGTTTTGGATTCTTTTACTTCACTTTTGGGCTAGAACATTTTTTTAATTATTAATAATAATAAAAATATACTTACTATTTTGAAAAAGACTAAACCTGTTTTAAGCTATTACTCAAAATCTCCATGCAATGTGTTAATGTTTAGCCCTGGAGAGCTGTAAAGCTTCTTTCATCGTCTTCCTTTGTATTCAAAGTACAATTTATGCAAGAAATTTCTCTTTTAATCTAAAGAATTAAAACCTATATCTATTGATACTGTAAACTTATTTTCATACTTTCAATCAGATCATATTTGTATTTGCTTTTCCCTTGTTTTGGAGCTCTAAATTATTAACTAATTAATAAAAAATATACTATTTTGAAAAAGACTACACCTTTTTAAGTCATTATTCCAAATTTTCACGCAATGAGTCTTTAGTATTAATTTTTTTAATTTAACAAAAAGTACATTTTATGGAAGAAATTTCTCTTTTGATGTAAAGAATTAAAACATATCTATTGATGTCATAAAATAATTTATTTTCATACTTTTAATCAGGATATCATAAAATAATTTATTTTCATACTTTTAATCAGGATATCATAAAATAATTTATTTTCACACTTTTAATCAGGATATCATAAAATAATTTATTTTCATACTTTTAATCAGGATATCATAAAATAATTTATTTTCATACTTTTAATCAGGATATATTTGCATTAATGTGTTTGGATTCTTTTCATTCACTTTTGGGCTAGAACATTTTTTTTACTTGTTATTATTAATTAATAATAATAAATATACTTATTATTTTGAAAAAGACTAAACCTGTTTTAATCTATTACTCCAAATTTTCACGCAGTATGTTAACTATGAAGCCCAGTGGAACAATAAACCTTCGTTTACCTTTTTTTTAATACAAATTAAAATTTACAATCTATAATAAAACAGTTAATGTTGTTACCTCATCATTTTGCATTTGCTTTTAAAAGAAACCCATTTTATGGGTAGTCTAGTTTTATAAATAAAAATAAAAATTCCTTTGCATGATAAAACATGACAACTGCAAAAACAAGTTAATATCAATTTATTTTCATAATTTCAACCAGGATATAATTACATTAAGGCTTTTTTTTCTGCTTTTCATTCGTTTTGGGGACGGAAAAATTACTTACCTAATTAATTTATAAAAATATACGTAATATTTTGAAAAAAGAAGAGCCCCCCTTTTAAGCTATTTTAATTCACATTTTCATGCACTGTGTTAACTATGAAAACCAGTCGAACAATTATTCTTCTTTTACTGTATTTAAATACAAATTAAAATGTGTAATTAATAATAAAATTGATAATATTGTTACCTTTTCATTTTGTATCATGAACTACTTACAAAAGAATTCCAACGAGTTTAGAGTTGGTCTAGTTGTAATCTATTTGTTCGTTTGACACCAGTTTATTAATCTTTGGTAGGGGGGGGAATAATTACATTACATTACATTCACTTACGTGCTAATAACCTTGGGAAAGGTATGAATCCTCTTCTCCTTCTCTGGGTAAATAGAAGGACTGACTGGATTCTATAGCCTTGGGTGGGAACCGGTCTAGGAGAAGGAAAAAATCTCTAAATTCAAAACCTACCTGGAGAGGGTTGGGTTCCGTCATGCTGTCTTGCCCAAGAAACTCCACTGCGACTGCAGTAAACATGGTGACTCTACGACCCTACGGGTCACGGGATTAAAAACAAAATATGGGGTAAGGATTGATTAGCGAAGGGATATGAAAGTAGAAAGAGATCGATAGTGTTCAATGGCATTTATTTTAACTTTTGTAAATATGTTTCCTCCTCCTTCTTTTCTACTCACACTGGTCGACTTCGTGAAGGCGATAATTAAAATGAGCAAAAAAGTGACAAAAATAGTTAAAATCTTCTGCAAGTCTCTACGCCCGAGGCCAAATGACATAGGTTCACTTAGCACGCGACTAATATCTCTTTCAGTGCCCATATAAAGCTCATTAATTTCTGTCTGAATTTCTGGGATGAGAAGTTAGCATTATTTACACCTATTTATATTCGTACTATTTTCCTTGTCTTGGTTGTTGCTATGACAACTAGGGAAGGCCGTTGAGCCCTATCTACCAGCACCAAATAGGGAATGATAAGTTATATCCCTAGACATGAACAGTGGAGCGAGAACAGTCTACCACCGTAGATTAAATAAAGAGTTCAGTTCGTAATACACTGCAGTTTACCAAGATGGATAAAAAAAAGAACGAAACGATATGCCTTGACTTGAGAAGTGGTACGAGAACTGTCAACCTCCATTCAGTTCGGAAGATCTTGTAGGTTAACCAGATCGATATACACCTGACGGAGGGCACAACGCTCGAAACAACAACGAAGATAAGGACAATACTCTGAATATAAATACTGTAAATAAGGCTCATTAAATTAGTTTTTCAGAGAAAGATAATTTTGGTATCTGTCTATATTTCTAAGATGAGGTATTATGTACACTATTTACATTATTCGGACTATTGTCCCCATCTTTGTTGCCATATTTATTACAACGTTTTGGCCTTTCAATATCTGTCTATATTTCTGAGATGAGATATTATGTACACTATTTACATTATTCGGACTATTTTCCTCATCTTTATTGCCATATTTATTACAACGTTTCGGCCGTTCAGTATCTGTCTATATTTCTGAGATGAGGTATTATATACACTATTTGCATTATTCGGACTATTGTTCTCATCTTTGTCGCCATATTTATTACAACGTTTCGGCCTTTCAGTATCTGTCTATATTTCTGAGATGAGGTATTATGTACACTATTTGCATTATTCGGACTATTGTTCTCATCTTTGTCGCCATATTTATTACAATGTTTCGGTCTTTCATTATCTACCTACATTTCTGAGATGAGGTATTATGTACACTATTTGCATTATTCGGACTATTGTTCTCATCTTTGTCGCCATATTTATTACAATGTTTCGGTCTTTCATTATCTACCTACATTTCTGAGATGAGGTATTATGTACACTATTTGCATTATTCGGACTATTGTTCTCATCTTTGTCGCCATATTTATTACAATGTTTCGGTCTTTCATTATCTACCTACATTTCTGAGATGAGGTATTATGTGCACTATTTACATTATTCGGACTATTGTCCTCATCTTTGTCGCATATATTTATTACAACGTTTTGGCCTTTCAATATCTGTCTATATTTCTGAGATGAGATATTATGTACACTATTTACA